CTGAGGAAGAGCCCATACACTTGGCCAGGGCATGCCACAAGGATGCCCTTGGTCCTCCTGAAGCAGTTGGTGATGCCAGCAGGGATCTCCTCCCATCCCTCCGCTACCAGCACTGGAAGACCCCAGATCCAGCCCTGCTCTCCTTCCCCTCTCCCCACCGATGCCCAGTGCAGGGATATGGGTAAACCTCAGCCCCGACCTTTTGCAACCAGCTCCTGCAACCTTGCCATTACAGCCTTTACCATCAACCCCACCTTGCCCTGGGGTTCACCATGCAGCAGGGAGGCAGTGGGGCAGAAGCCAAGGTTGCTGTGACCCTCTCCAGGGCTGGTCACCCCCATCTACCCCCCAAAACAGAGCTGAGCCACAGGTTTTCACTGCTTGGGGTGGCACGTACCCCACGGTGGCCTCATCAGTGCTGGGAACAGGATCCCTCCAGCAACACGCTGTTCCAGACAGCGGCCCCACGTATGGATGATCCATCTATGCATCGGGAGGGCTGCAGCTCTCCTAAAGTGGGGGTGGAAGCTGTAAGGTTCAGATTTCTCCCCACACCTGCCTCTAAATCAGAGGACATTCAGATTTAATCTCAGGGAGAGGTTTAACCCTCTCCTGTGTGGCTGGGTGTCCCCATGCTGGGGTGAGGACCTGCCTGGCCAACCTCTGATACAGGCAGCAGGGCCAGCCCTCTCCCCACTCCCATTTTTTGCCTAGTCTCCTATCCAGGGTTCATTCCATATGGGAGAAGCGATGCTTCACCCCTGCCCCTGCCTGTGGTGATGAGCAGCTGGTCTCAGTGGGGTTTCTCATTACTGGCTGCTTCCTGCTCACCTTCTCAGCTGAATGCCAGCAAGTCCTGCTGCAGATGCAGACACTCTCACGTACGCCATGAATTTAACCATGGGCTGAAACAGGAGGCGGAGGCACAAGCAGGTGATTTGGAGTGGAAGCACCCTGTTGGCATGGGCTGCCTCTGTGTCCTGTTACGGGGTGCTGGGGCACCAGGCAAGAGTCAGCCCACGTATCAGCAGCTCCATCAGCACCCAGAAGCTGGCCCAGACTCATGGAAAAGTGTCACAGTGCTGAGAACTATTTGCTACCACGTCCAGAAGCAGCATGGGCTGTTCCTGAAGTTTGCAATTGTCTCAGTGAGGCACATCTGAGTGCTGTGGTGGAGCCAGGTCTGGCAGCAGAGCTGAGCAGCACTTGGAGGGAAAGGTTCCCATGTTGTTTTGGGTTTCACCCTCACACAATCACTTCAAGGCACCAAACATAAGGCTCGCCTGTGAACTGAAAGTGAATGTTTGTAAAAGATGCTGCAAAAACTTGGCAGAACATTAGAACCCGGTTTGGAGAGAGCTCCATCAGCTGGTTCAGGAGCATGGGCTGGTTCAGGGGCAGTACAGGCACCATGATGTCCCATGTTGCAGGATGCACACAGCAGTGGGAGGGAAGAGTGTTACTTGTGCAGATCCCAGTTTCTCCATTTATAAGTGCTGATGGCTTTTTCCAGGACGAGGGTCCATTCTCCTCCTCTGCCCTCATCCCTGCTTCTGCTGCTGCTCCCCAGCGCTTCCATGGTGGGAAGCAGCAGCGTGCACACCTTTTTCCAGCGTTCTGTCCCACACTGCCCCAGCCTGGCTGTTGCAGGCTGCCCAGCCCACTTAGGCAGGAGCTGGCCGGTATTTCAAGCTCAGCTCATGGCTCTGTCTGAGCCCTGGCACTGACTGGGACCTTGGGGACCATCCTTCACCTCCTCCAGGGTTTTCCACCACTCTGTGGTTGATGGCTTTGGGGTAAGGATGACCAAGAACCCTCTTGTACATTTCCAAGCGCCCCTTGCTCCAAACCTGCCTGTGAATGCTGGGTGTGGGGCTCCACCTGCCCCAAACCCGCACCAGCTTGTCCATGCCCCATCCCAGCTCCTGCCCGCCACTGCCTTCATCCCCTCATCCTTCCCTCCCTGCTTGCATCCCTCCCTGCCAGCAGCTCAGGGCTCCCTTGCAGGCAGGTCACTGACTCCCTCCCTCCCTCCCTCCTCAGGCCGTCACCGTCCCTCTCCTGCAGGCACAGAGCCCAGGGCACCACGCTCCAGTCCCCATGGATGCAGCACGTGCCCTCAGTGCAGGATCCAGCACTCCACTCCCATTACTGAGCCCCACATAGATCCTGGCTGCTACCACAGCCCTGCTCACCATGTGCACAGCTAAAGGGTGCAGATCTCTGCTGTAGGACTAAGCCATGAGTGTCCCCAGCTCCCAGTGTTCGTGAAGGGCCCGTGAGTCTTTCCCTTCGGGAAACACAGGCTGAAATAGTTATTTTTGAGTAATTTCTGACCCGAGCTGGCCAAGCCTTCCTTGAAAAATAGTTTTTAGGGACATCATTCTGGGTACAAAAGGCTGCAGTGGAAAATAAGTCACTGCATTCATCCTTCCCTCCCCCGCACTCGGTCCCCCTGTACTTTGCTTTCCCTGCTGTCAGTGGACAGAAGCTAATAGGGAACAAGAAATTCATGCAAAAGGCCTTTGGAAATATTCATTGCTCATCTCTTAACAAGATTACCCCTGAAATCCTCCATTGCTCTGAGGAAGATTCAAAAGCTTTCAGGCTCTCCGTAACCATAGCAGCACAGATGTGAAAAGGAAGAGGAGACAAGTGATGTGAAAAATCACTGGGGATGTACAGACAGGCTGCGTGCAGCTGCATCATCAAGCTGCTTCTCTGCAACACACTTCTTTGTCTCACAGAGCCAGGGCTGGCTCTTCACCTTGGCCAGACCATGCAACACGCATCCATACCTAACAGGAACGACTCAGACTGCAGGCAGTGGTAGTGATGTGTCCCAGGGCTGGTTCCATGGCACCAGCATCACCTTCCTGGGCACTCTTTGGGAACCCCTCCATGGCTGGCATTGCTGCTCGGTGTTCCCAGTGTGTCCAGCAGCTCACAGCTCCTTCCCTGCAGAGCACTGGCAGTAATGGGGATGGTTTAGAGCCAGGCTGGGGGGTTTGGAGCCCCCAGTCCCTGTTCCCTCCTGCCACAGGTTCCTCTTTCATCTTGGGCACCATTACTGCACCTGTAAGAGAGATGGGTGTTGGTGAGGTTGAACGGATCCGTGTTTTGAGGCCCTGCGAATGAGAGCAGCAGTAAGAGCATCACACAGGTCCCTACCATCTCCTGAGAGCCAGCTGAGCCCCAGAGCTTCACCATAGCTGGCTGGGAGGAACAGCAGGAAACCCCTTTCACCTCCTTTCCCAAAAACCACCTTTCCTGAAAACCTCCAAGAGTCATCAACCAAATTCTTTTCTGGTTAAAAGAAGTGGGTTTTGGCTTTACACAGCTTCCAAAGCTGGGGTGAGATTACTTGTCATGCCCTTCTCTCTTGCCATCTTCTGTTCTTCATTCCCACTGATACTGATGATATACCAGGCACCAAAATGTGGTCACTGCTTTGTTCACATGCCTAAACCCAGCTCATCCACCCCTTCCCCTGGTCTTTGGCTCACATAAGGTCCTATGGAAGTGCCATTACATCTTCTGTGTCCTCAGCATCTTCTAACTCCTGAGGCTCAGTCGCTGGCATCACATTAGGGATCTCCTCATGGCACAGTCATCTCACCAGAAGGAGCTTCATGTTGTCAGGTGATGCACCCAATGAAGGTGCAAAACCCTGCAGGGTGCCACAGTGCACTGGGCAATTTTGGACAGCAGTCCCATTGCCAGTCTTGTTAGGGACCCAACCTTCCCCTTCTCCAAGGGTAGGCCCAGCCAAGGATGGACTCTGCTTTCCCCAAGGCCATCTCTTGGCTCTGCCTGTGATCAGGTAGAGAAAGCTCTTAGCATGCCTACAGCATAACAACAACCGGGGAATTAAGTGGCAAGAATAATTCTTGTGAAAAGGGCTTTTGGAATCCACAGGCTAAATTCAACAAGAACCAAATGCGGAGGCTGGAACTTTGCTATGGAAAGAAAACCAACTACATCTAAGCTTGAAAAAACCCACACATGCACAAAGGTAAGATAAAAATCATTTTAACTCTTGAGCAAGTTCCCTTTGTATTTACACTTTTCATAAATCAGCTTCTGAACCAACTCTAGCATGAAATAGGGACGGTGACTGCTGAGGAAACACAGGGCAAGCTGTACTTCCACGAGCAAACTCACTTCCAGAGTTGATGCCCATCTATGCAGAGACGGGCATGGGCACACATCCCACCTCTTGGCCATTGTGGGTCAGTTTTGCTGAAGCAGGTCACAGACAGTGTTCCTGCCCATGACCACGCAGCATCGCAGAGGTCGCAGTGCGTCGTTTCATGGTGATCTTGTTTTCCCCTCAGGTTAGATATTTCACAGAACCACAGAATAACCGACAGCTGAACACGCTGCTTATGGCACACGGGTTTCAGGGAGAGCTTATTCTTCCCCTCAGGTTAAATATCTCATGGGTTCAAGGGAGAGCTGGGCACATTTGCAGCACCCCCATCTGAAAACAAGTCCCCAAACACAGACAAGTGTAAGAAACAAACACCATGGGTGGCATCGGCCAGCTCCTGCCATGTCTGACCATAAGACACCCAATGGGTGAGGGACCACCACCGAGCTCCCTGCTGCCAGCAAGCCCACGCCAAGTACCACACATTAATCTCCAGGGAGGACAAAAGGACAGGACAGATTGTGCGGCGTGAGGACTGCAGTGGTGAGCGATGCAAGTACAATGTGCAATGTAGCGCGGTGCTCTCCAGGGCTGCAGCGGCTTTCCAGGAGTGAGCTCCGCGGATTGGCCCGGAGCACCCCACTCTCCTCCCTCCCTGCCCTCCTCCTTCAGCACCCTCACACCGCGGAGATTGGACAGCTGGCTGCCACATCGCAGAGGGGAGCCAGGATAAGAAATGAGCTGGACTTGGGGACTGTAGCATCTGTGGCACAACAGCTGGGAGAAGTTTGCAGGGAGCTGGAACCAAACGTCCCTGGCTGCAACGAGCCGGTGCCGGGGAGGACAGACAGAAGGACAGACACCGGGACTGCAGCCACCCAGGGACACCTTTGAGGTGAGCACCCTGTCCCCTCTGCATTATGTCCCTGGTGGTGAAGGAAAAGAACCATGTGCGGTTGGTCTTCCTGGGCGCTGCCGGTGTCGGCAAGACAGCCCTTATCCGCCGCTTCCTGATGGACACCTTTGAGCCCAAGCACCGGCGCACGGTGGAGGAGTTGCACAGCAAGGAATACGAGGTGAGCGGGGCCACGGTCAAGGTGGAAATCCTGGACACCAGTGGCAGCTACTCCTTCCCAGCCATGAGGAAGCTCTCAATCCAGAACAGTGATGCCTTCGCCCTGGTCTATGCCATAGACGATGCCGAGTCCTTTGAGAGCATCAAGAGCTTGCGGGAGGAGATCCTGGAGGTGAAGGAAGACAAGTTCCCTCCTATCGTGGTGGTTGGCAACAAGGCGGAGAGCGGCAGCAAGCGGCGGGTGCCGGTGGAGGATGCTCTGTCGCTGGTGGAGCTGGACTGGAACAGCCGCTTTGTGGAGACGTCTGCCAAGGACAATGAGAACGTCCTGGAGGTCTTCAGGGAGCTGCTGCAGCAAGCCAATCTGCCCAGCCGGCTCAGCCCAGCGCTCTGCAGGAGGAGGGAGACGCTGCCCAAGGAGCAGGCGCTGAGGCCTCCCATGAACAAGACCAACAGCTGCTCCATGTGCTGAGCCAGCCACCCAGGGCTGGGAGAAGGGTGCTGGAGGCAGCAGAACCGGCTGGAATCTCAGGTGGGCTGTGTGGGGAGAGGTGCTGCCTCGGCCAGAACCAACCCTGCTACCTCCCACCCTTCCCTCCTCATCCCCACCAAGCCCACCGGGAGTGGTGAGAGTTGGAGATGAGCAGAAGGAGGGACTTGGAGGGGATGCTGGATGCAGGAGGGGTGCGGGGAGAGGGTGAGTTCCTGAAGAGGCAGGAGGTGTTCCTGGGACACAGCCGCTGGTCAGCAGCACCCTGTGTCTGCGCTCAGTGAGCATGCAGGCAGCAGCCAGGCAGCTCCTCACACGTTGGGACTGGCAGACAAGCAGCGGGGCTGTGTCTGTGTCCATCAAAAGGCAGATGTGGGCATCGTGCAGCTGCCTCGCACCCACCGGTGCCGCTTTCCTGGGTCTTCTCCGGGTCCTGTGTCACCTCGCCCCAAGCACTCCATGTACAACCTCCTGGCACATCTGCAGTTACGACATCTGGTGTCCAAAGTGGTTTTGGTTTTGTACCTGGGTGTAGAGCATGTGATAGGGCAGTCTGTGCATCCCTTGAAGTTTCTCTTTTCTTCTTCTTTTATTTTTAAGCATACCTAATAAACACATTGCTGCAAAGTGGAGCTTGAAAATGACTGTGTTTCTTTCTGTTGTATTTCAAACGCTGCTGTGCCTGATATCAGGGGTTTATGCTCAGACTCAATATCACTGAGTTTCATAGAATCTGAGACTAGTTTGGGTTGGAAGGGACCTTAAAGCTCATCCAGTTCCGACCCCTGCCATGGGCAGGGACACCTTCCACTAGAGCAGGTTGCTCCAAGCCCCTGTGTCCAACCTGGCCTTGAACACTGCCAGGGATGGGGCAGCCACAGCTTCTCTGGGCACCCTGTGCCAGCGCCTCAGCACCCTCACAGGGAAGAACTTCTGCCTCAGAGCTCATCTCAATCTCCCCTGTTTGTTTGCTTTCCCTCCTCCATGCTCCATGCTCATCTGGAGCCCTGGGGGAGCCTGCCCAGCTCTCCAGCCTCCCCTGGCAGCATCAGGACATTTGGTGTTAAGTTTTTCCTGGTGATTTAACCTCTAAAGTTTTTATCAAGCATGAGTAACTGAAATTAAAACGGCTCTTATAGCATCCAAGTACAGAAAAGCACAACAACCATTGAAAAACAGCTGATATAAAACTATAAGCGCATTAAAAGGAGATACTAAAAGGAGTGGGAGAAGGGCACAGAAGGGCAGTAATGAGCATTTAACCTGCTCAGCAGCCACACAAACACAATAAATAAAGTCACTAAAGCTTGGTGAATTAAAGAGTCACCCATCCTGGCCCAGACCCAAGGGAGCTGGGCACTTCGGGGTACCCAGCTTTCAGGAACCCAACCCTACAGCACGGTGTGTCGCTGCTCAGCCCAGCTGGGCAGGCTGATGCAGGAGAGCTCTCATGATCTCAGCCCCTTCCCAACTTGGGCAGAGGAGGAGGTGCTGGCAGGGAGCACCCAGCCACGCTGTGGGCACCCCTCTCTAGGGCACCCAGCAGCCACCACCCCACGGGCACCGGCACAAGGACAATGACCTCCGGGCAGGAAAATCCTTCCTCCTGGAGTCTGAGGCAGGACAAGGCCAAGGGCAGGCAGTGGGGAAGGTCTGCTGCTGGCCACATGGTTCAGGATGTCCTCACCACTCTCCACCTCACAGCCACGTACCTCGTGCTGCTCACCCAGCTCCTCAGGGACACACAGGGCAGCTCAGGGCAGAGCCCTGTCTGGGGGAAAACAAGGCTCCTGCCTGCAGGGAATGAAGTACAAAGAACGTTCCCTTTCAGCTGACCCAGTGCGGTGGGAACAGGGATGATGGATGCAGCCACAGTGATGCTGCACCTGGGCTGCACCCAGCAGCAGGGCCACCTCCATGGGGCAGGGTGACCTGCCCGTGGTGAGGCACCTCTGGAGGTGAGGACCTGCCCCAATGACCAGAGCTCTCGCTAATCAACCAGCCCTGCAGCAGTTTCACAATGTGCAGAGAGGGATTTTTGCTTGTTTTGGAGCAGGGGTAGGCTCAGGGGCACCAGGCCTGTTGGTTTATTATATTATGCTAAAAGTAGAAGAAAACCTCTTTGCAGTGTATGATTAGGAAGCTGGGATGAGCGAGGCTGCCTGCCAGCACCCTCCTGTGTGTTTTGGTCCACAGTAAGGTCTAGAAACAGCTCCCCATGCTCTGGTGAGATCCCAAGTCCTCCCCAGGCTCCCTGAGCTCCCCAGGCCGTCCACTGGCTCCCTTGGCAGAGCAATAACCCCCGGGTGCTTCAGGCCCCCCACTCCCAGCCACCCCTGGCCCATGACCCATGGGGAACAGCAAACACGTGCTGAGATGCTGACTGAGATGCTGGATCTGCAGAAGTTGCAGGAACTGAGATGCTGGAGATACAAGAGATGGAGACCAAGATGCTGGAGGTGCAGAAGATGCAAAGACCGAGGCGCAGGAGCTGCAGACTGAGGTGCAGGAGCTGCAGGGACCCTCTTAACTAACACACCTCCATGTGCCCCTGCAGTACTGGGCTCCAGCAATCAGTGGAGCCATTGGAGGAGCTCACCCAGCAGCACATGTCCCACACCTGATGCCTGGCTGCCTTATACAGCCCCCTCCTGCCACTCTGGCCCTGCCAGGGGTGGTCCCCAAGTTGGGATGAAGGGCAGGGATGTTGCTGGGATAAAGGGCAGCACTCCCCAGGCCTTCTGTCCCTCACCTGCACAACCTCCGCTCTTGGGCATTGCAGGGTTTGGGGTTGCTTTTTTGAAGCACTCACATGAAATCCTGTTGCATGGGGCTGCTCAGCTGGGGTTACACACAGCTGCCTTGCCTGGGTGCTGGGGTTGGCAAGCTTTGGCCATGCAGGGACTTGGTGTGGAAGCTGGGGTTAGGACGCATTTACCATGCAGGGGTTCTGCCAGGACAAGAGCCTTTTAGGTGTCTCTTCCCCATGCAGGATTGCAGGGCACCTGGGAGCCTCAGCCCACGCCACCCTGCAGGGCTCCACGTTTTGCTGCAGTTGCAGAATAGCTGTGATATCAAAAGGCAAATAAAGCAGCATGGTAAGAGCCTCTGGTGCCTGTGATCTGTGCCTGACACAGGTGCTGTCCTCCGAGGTGGTGCAAGCTCTGCCCCAGCTTCTGCCTGCATGTGTCGGTGTGCTGGGGCTCGAGCAGCATTTCTCCTGCTGCAAATGTGTTGACTGAGGTTACAAATAGGCAGGTTTTATGTCTCATGGCCTGAGATGTGTGTGTGCAACCTGTGTCCTGCAGAAAAGTGCAGCTTAAGGGTGCTCCCAGGGTGTCTGGGTCACACAGGGGGTGGTCTGGTACCTGTGTGTGTCTCTGTGCAGTGTGATGTGGTGAAGAACCAAACACCCGCGGTTCATTTTCTTTCAACAAAGAAAGAAATGGGGGTTGGAACTGTATGATCTTCAGGTGCTTTCCAACCCAAACTGTTCAATGAGTCTATGAACAAGTGGCAGCACATGAAATGGCTTTTCTTTCTCCGACACCAGCATAGCTACTGACGGCAGCGTGTCTGCAGCATGGGAAACTGCGCGCAGGTGAGTGGAGATAGAGCGTATGACACCCCCAGCTTGCACATCCTGCGGACATCCCACAGTCACGAGGGAGCGTGAATAAGAGGAGCAAAAACTTGTCCTTCCTTCTGCCTCCTCTCCCAGGACAGGGCGGCTGGGGAGGATGCTTTGTGCTGTGGCTTCAGGGGAAAGCCCGGGGAGAGCAGGATCCATCCAGAAACATCCATCTGGGCCTCCCCGGCTCAGTTCTGCCCTGGAGGGCTCAGCTAATGCAACCCTGAGCACCTGCGGCCTCAGCCACATCTCTTGGTCTCCCTGGGTCCAGGGCACAGAAGATGGAAGGGTTCTCCCCTCCAGAGCAGCAGCTCCAGCATGTGGATGGAGGATACCTGCGATCATGGCCTCAGGGGCAATCGGTGCCACTCTGTCTCCATTAACATGAGGCTGCTACGGTGCCCTGGGGCACAGATCCAGGGAGAAGCCTTGGTCTGGATGAGCCACACACAAGCATGACACCACTGTCCCCAGGATGGCATCGACAGCCCCGGCAGCAGCTGCAGCACTCACTCTCCCAGTCCCACCCCTGGGGCTGGGGAGGTTTCATCGCAGTGGTCCTTTCAGTCAATTAGCTGCAGTTTAGGTTTGAGTTGATTTTTCACAGGTGATCTATGCATACAGGGCCCTGGTGATGGATACAGAGCATGACAGCCCCTCAGCTCTGCTCTGGTGAGACCCCGCTTGCAGCACTGTGTGCAGGGCTGGTGTCCTCAACGTGAGAAGGACATGGAGCTGCTGGAGCAAGTCCAGAGGAGGCCATGGGTATGAGCAGGGGCTGGAGCACCTCCTGTATGGAGACAGGCTGAGAAAGTTGGGGCTGTTCAGCTGGAGAAGAGAAGCTGCGTGGAGACCTCAGAGCAGCCTTCCAATATCTGAAGGGAGCCTACAAGGATGCTGGAGAGGGACTCTTCACTAGGGACTGTAGTGGTAGGACAAGGGGTGATGGGTTCAAACTGAAGCTGGGGAAGTTCAGGTTAGATACAGAGAGCAGGGGGGAGAGCTGCAAGCCCCCATGGGTAGGGGTGCTGATGGGTGCTGCGTGCTGCTCAGGTCCTGATTGATGTGAAGCACAAACACTTAAACAAGGTCACCGCATCTGAAAGTAAAACATTAAACCCGAAAAGCGGCGCTCAGTCGCTATATGTTTTTAGGGCCTTTTCCTGAGCAAGGTCTCAGGTGGCGGCTGCTCGGAGCGGTTCCCTGTCACCATCTCGTGGGAAAAGTGGGAATTACAGCGAGGACATTTTGTGCGAGGAGAGGCCTTTCTCCCCGTTCCTCCTGCCGCGAGGTCCTGCTGCCCCCGACGATGCTCTTCAACCCGACTGGCGCGCCACGAACGCGCGGGAACGGG